CAAAGAGTGTTTGATTTGCATGCATTTAGTCTTGATTAGGGTTGTCTATTTTGTTGTTTTTATCTTGCCATACACGCCTAATTACTATACAGTATAAGGAAAACAGTAAATTTTGGAAAATGAAATTCTATGCTATTACAATATTTAGGGGATGGGGGTACATATGTACGAATGGGGATTGCAAGGAATTATAAGTCCTAAGTTACTATTACAACCATATTGAAATGTATAATATAAGAAAGAAATGGACTTGTTTAAAAAATGTTTTTGTCTTAAGGAAATAAAATAAAAGAAAATATTTTTATGTTTTTTATGTTAATATTAAAAAAAGATGAAAAGTAAAAATAAATGCAAGGTAGAAATAACGTGTTACTGCAAACAAGGAAACAAGGATCAGAATTTCTGAAACCAGGCGCGCTGTGACTCAGCAGGAGACGTCAGATGGGTATCAGAAGTTCTGAGTTAGTAAACTCTGAGGTCCCGCAAGACACATCAGAGGGAAAGGGAACAGAGGTTCTGGATTGGTACACTCTGAAGTCCTGCAAAAAACGTTAGAGGGAAAACACAGAGGTTATGGATGACCTTCAGCCAGTGAACCAAAAGTCAGAAGTTCTGTATTGTCAACATATGAAAATCAGAAACTCAGAGTGTTTGAAAACAACTGATGGAAACATCAAAAGTTCAGTGTATTTGACATGTGAGGAGAACTCAGAAGTTATGTGCTGTGTTAGAACAGTAAGTGAGTCATCAGAAGTTCTAAGTGTTAAAACAGTGAGTGAACATCAGAAGTTCAGTGTTGTGCTAAAGCTATGAGTGAACATCAGAAGTTCTATACAATGTTTTAACTCTGAATCAGCACATCAGCAATTTATTCAGTTCAGCAAATCAGAATGATCACAGCACAACAAATCATAGAAGCTCCAATCCTAAGTCTGAGCCTAGCATTATTCTAGAAATTCTGATCCATAGTTTTTCTATTCATACAATGATATGTACAACATTAATACTATGATATTTACATGTTAATGATGTTCAGAATGAAAAGCAAGTAAAGTCAGAAAGACTTACCTGGGGTGTGCTTGGAATTTTGAGTGGCTGCCTTTGGATGTTCTGAGTCAGCAAGAAAGATGGAAGAGTGGTTGTGTTCTAGGGTTCAAAGGGAAGAACAAAGATTTGTTTTTGTGTATGAGAAATCTGGATTTTTATGAAGGTTTCACAACTTATTTTTCTCTCTTTTGGCCAATCTCTCTCTCCAAAATCTAGCTTCTTGAATGTGTGATGGAGCCAAGTATTTATAGATGAATTTGCTATGACTTTGGGGGGAAAAAACAAATAGGATTTGAACCTGTTTTGGCATCCTGTTCCTTTGCTTTTTCATCACAATTTTCGTATGCTAGTTTGGTGTAATCATGAGATGCAGGCGTAGGCTGAGCCAGCTGTTGGTCATAGGTCTGCAGCAAGTTGTATAAGCAAGGTTTTGGGATTTGGTTAAGTTCTGACCAAAGCTTTGAAAATAGCCTTCATGTACTGAAGCGCTGCCTTGTCTTTGAAGAAAACATGGTGGTTGTCAGCAGGAATTAAAGAAAAGAAAAAAGTAAAGCATGGGCTTAATAGCAAAGTTGCTATCCCAAGACAGTAGAGGTACACGTGGTGAAAATCCTTTGGATAAAGACTCAAAAGGTGGTTGTGAGCATTAAATAATGATGAGACTTATCACAACCAGAAATCCTACAACGTGAAACTCTACACCAAGGCTTAGTTTTGGATCCGAAGTTCTGCTTCAGCGTGGCATCCCCATCTTCTGATCTTCTTTACCTTCTGGCTCCAGCATGTTCTGAAGGAGCTTTCAGGCTTCATATTACGCTTTATTACCTTCTTTGCATTACCCTAGAAAACTCTGACTGAACTCGCATAGATGCTGAAGAGCCATGTTCTGACTGAAGACTATGTGCTGAACCATGTTTACAACTTCTGACTGCACCTGCTTAGAATTTTGACCTCTTGGATTTTGATGAAACAAAACTTCATATTTCAACGTGTCTTGATGAAATATGATTCTTGAAGCTTGATTTTGATCCAAAAGTCAAAGTTTGACTTTTCAGTGTGCAAATGACCATTTTGCCCTTATGAGTGATTTTCTTGGAAAATTTGATAATTCAAGGCCTGGAGACTTGATGAAGGAAAACTTGGGATCCAGGGTGATCCCTTGTGAAATGAGAGGGCAAATTTTGGGGTGCAACAGACATCCATCTGGTGCAATGCCTAATTTTTTGAAGCTGCTATTGCTAAGAAGACACGAACCGTAGTCATTTTGGCCACTAGAACAAATGTTTCATTGTAATCAATACCCTCCTGTTGGTGATTGCTCAAGATTTGAGGCGCTCAATATCCCCATTTGATAAATATTTGGTCTTGTACACCCATCGACTACCAAGAGCATGTTTTCCCGGCAGAAGATGTTCCAAAGTCCATGTTCCATTATTCTCAAGAGCCTGGATTTCCTCCTGCATTAATTGTCTCCACCCGTCGTACTTCATAGCCTCTTTAAAGGATTTAGGATCATTACCCTTGATAACAGTTTCAAGAAATCTCCGATAATTTACAATATAATTGTCACAATTTATATAATGTGCTAAAGGATAAGGAGTACCTTGGGAGAGATCAAAAGAGGAGGAAGATGAGGATGTACTATTAGAAAAAACCGTATGTGTCACAAAGTCCCGATAAAAGGTGTTAGGGAATTTTTCTCAAAACCTGCGACCCATTTCCTGCTCAAGGACTACTGGAGCTGCTGATGTAGACGAAGGCCTAACAGCCTGATCAGATGCTGGTATAGGTTGTTCTTGATTTGGCCCAGCCGGCACCAATGAGGTCTCAGGAGATGGTGGGTCTGATGTTTGAACGTTGGGTTGGGTTTACTGTTGACCCAAGAGTTCGCCAACCTCAATTTCATTGTCCAAAATTAATTCAGCAAAATCCTCATGAATTTATTGATCAACATATTCATCATTCGTGGTGTTTACATCCTCCAGACACCCAAACGGGAACACTTCCTCAAAGAATTTTACATCTCGTGAAACAAAAAATTCTTTTGTATCCAAATCAAACAATCTCCAACCCTTTTTACCAAATAGATATCCAACAAAGGCACATTTTCGACTTCGACTAGCAAATTTATCTCCTTTAGTTTTCTGATTATGTGCATAACACAAGCACCCAAAGGTTCGAACAACATCAAAACAAGGGGGGTTTATCAAAAAAATATTTCAAAAGGTGTTTTATGTAGTAAAAGAGGAGTAGGGGTACAGTTGATTAAGTGAGTAGCAACAAGAACACATTTCCCCCAAAAATAGATAGGAAATTTTGCTTGAAAACGTAATGCCCGACCAACATTCAAGATATGTTTATGCTTCCTCTCAACTCTCCCATTTTGTTGCGGAGTAACCACACATGAAGTTTGAAATAAAATTCCGGTTGCATCAAAATATTCAAGCAAACAATTAAACTCAGACTCGTTATCACTTTGAACAACTTTAATTGTTTGAGAGAATTGTCTATAAACCATAGTAAGAAAAGCCATAAACATTTGAAATACTTCTAATTCATCGACTAACAAATAAATCCAAACCGCTCTCGAAAAATCATCAACTATTGTAAAAAAATAACGAACTCCACACAAAGAAACATGTCTATACGGTCCCCACAAATCATAATGTATTTTCTCAAAAATTCGAGAAGCTTTATTATTACTCAAATGAAATTTATCTCTAGGATGTTTAGCACGCATACACACTTCACATCCCTTATCCAAATGATCTTTATTACTACTGACACGAGGAATCATCTTAACTACTTTTTCCGAAGGGTGCCCGAGCCGACGATGCCACAAATCCAAGTTTGATGTAGCTTTAGCAGTAGACACGAATTTCGGTTTGCTAAAGTAGTACAATTTGTCTCTCTTAATTCCTTCGTTTGGTCCTGTATAGCACAAATATGAGAATCAAATTGGATAATAGTTTGTAAATCATCATTAAGTTGAGATACAGACAGTAAATTGAAACTCAAATTTGGAACGTAAAGGACTCCGACGAGAGTAATCTTATCCGATAAACGAACAGATCCCACCAAAGTGGCAACTACTTTTTCACCATTCGGCAAACCAATCAAGCATTCAAAAATTTGTGTGTCAAATAACCAAGAGCTTTCTCCTGTAACATGGTGAGTTTCTCCGGTATCAATAATCTAGGACGGTGTATCAAACTTACCATTCAATCTATTGTCGGGGATTTGAGCATTACCAATAAGACCCGATATAACCTTCCATTGCTCGGGTGTAAACAATTGACCCAAGTTCGAAGGAGACGAACTTACAGTAGCATTAGCACGCACTTGGCCATGTTCCTTCCCTATTGTGGGAGTCTTCCTGCTCTCGGTCCAGGCATTCGAATAGCCCACAAGCTCAAAACAACGACTCTCAGGATGACCCTTCTTCTTGCAATGACCACAGACCGAGTTCTCCTAGCAACCCGATGCTTCATGACCTATTTTCTTGCATAGAGAACACACTGTCCTAGCAGAACCTTGTCCCCGACCACGGTCAGCCTCTCCCCCTGCTCGTACAGCGAACCCAATTGCCTCAGATGGTTTGGACTCGACTTCTTGCTTCGATGTACACACACATTCCTCTTGTGTAACCAACTGGTATGCTCTATCAAGACTTAGAAGAGGGTCTTGTGACAATATGTTTGTGCGTAAGGAAGAATAAAATTTAGGATAGAATCCCATTAAAAATTATGTAGGTGTGCTTGTGCTCGACGCTCCTCGTGCAATTTCCCCACCGAACACGAAGCACAACAAGAACACGATATCAAGGGCTCATGTCGATCAAGTTCATGCCACAAAGTATGCAACTTGCCGTAGTACATAGAAACCAACATTAATTTGGTATGTTTGCACTTTGCGATTGAAGAACGTAATTGTTGAATGCGAGGATCATTAGTTTATGTAAAATGTTGCTTGAGGTGATCCCAAAAGGATTTAGCCTCTCTGAATTTGGACAAGGATGTCCTCAAATTGGGGTCTATCGTATTCGTGATCCACGATATGAGCATCACATTAATCGCCGTCCAATCAGACTTCGTGCAAGGGGGTGACGGTTTATTGATGGAGCCATCCATAAATTCAAATTTCCTTCGAACTTCTAATTCTGTTTGCATGTTGGCTGCCCAAGATTCATAATTATCTGTTGTTAGGAGGGTGGGTGTGATGAAATCTCCCGGTCGGTCTTGCGATCCGAGGTAATATGGTGAATTAGGTTCAATCTTAGGTGTTGGTGGTGGTGGTGGTGGGGTTTCACCGCCATCCATATCAAATTATTCTTGAGAAAAAAACATTCTCAAGCTCTGATACCATGAAGAATTGGTAAATTGGCTTGTTTATTATCAATCACAGGTAACCATATTTATAATGCCAGTACATCATAAATCATATATTTAGAGATCTGAAAATTAGGAAACAATTAGACAAATATGTAAAGATATATCCTAGCAATTATTTTCCTAAATATATATTTTCCTAAAATATGTTTTCCTAAATATATCTCAATAGTCTTTGACTTCAAATTCCTAAGTATAATACGGTGGGAGAACTGACTTGGTTGTTTTGCGTTTGATCACAATTATTGCAGATAGCAAGAGTCGCCACCGACTTTTCTTTTATCCAATAAGGAAAGGGTGAAAAGAACAGGAAAGACCTTTGAGATATTTTCTTGAGTTCGGGGGGTAGATTATGAAAAGGGAAGCTGTTAGCACCCTTTTCATCCATAGTTATCTATGGGCTCTTAGTTGCTTGCTAGATCACTTTGAAAATGCTTTGTTTGAAAATGTGCTTGTGGTGTAATTTTGAAAATATTTTGCAAAATGCCTTTGTTGTGGCAAACTTTATAACTATTCTCGTCTCTATAAGAACGCGTACAAAGTGTTGGTTTTGAAAATACTTCAAAGCGATGTTTGTTTTTGAAGATGTTTTTGAAAGTGTAAGTGTGAAAAAAACATTTTAGTTTACGAGCAAGCAACTACGAGCGTCCTACCTACTCAAAAGGTCTATGTTCTTTTCCTCCTCCTTTAGATGTTGCTATCTTACCATTGATTTGGTAAGAAGCCCCATAGTTAGATGGGAAGGGACGGGCGCGGGTCAATTACATAATCATAGAAGGCAACTTATGAGACATTTTAGCAATTTTCGTTAGGGACTAGATTGTTTACCGAAGGCAACATCAAGGGACTACGATCTTTTATCGAGGGTCTTTGCTAAAACGCCCATATTTGAGGGACATAACTATTTTCCGAGGTAACAAGCGAGGTTACCCTAGAGGTGCACATGTGTGAGTAGTGTGTTTGATTATGTAACGCGGTGAGAGAAATGACTTGATTGTTTTGCGTTTGATCGCAAATGTTGTGGTTAGCAAGAGTAGACACCAACTTTTATTTTATCCAAAAGGAAAGGCTGAAAAGAACAGGAAAGACCTTTGAGATGTTTTCTTAAGTCTGGGGGGTAGATTATGAAAAGGGAAAGTATTAGCACCCTTTTCATCCATGGTTTTCCATGGGCTCTTAGTTACTTGCTAGATCACTTGCTTTTGTTTGAAAATGTGCTTTGTGTGGTTTTTGAAAGTATTTTGTAAATATGCCATCGTTTAGGCAAACTTTGTAATGATTCTCGTTCGTAAGAATGTATACAAAGTGTTGATCTTTTGAAAATGTTTTCAAGTTTGAAAGATGTTTTGAAAGTGTTTGGTGTTTGTTTTTGAAAATGTTTTTGATTTTTAATTTGAGCAAGCAACTAGGAACAACCTACCTACTCAAAAGTCTTTCATGTTTATTTCCTCTTTCCTTTGACATTGTTATCTTACCATTGATTTGGTAAGTAACCCTATCTTTGGATGTAAAAGGGACGGGCACAGGACGTTTGTATAGTCATAGAAGGCAACCTATGGAACATTTTAACAATGTCGTTTTAGGGACTAGATCGTTTACCGAAGGCAACATTGAGGGTTATCGAGGGACTACAATCTTTTATCGAGGGTCTTTGCTAAAACGCCCATATTCGAGGGACATGACTATTTTCTGAAAGGCAACAAAGTGGGATTACCCTAAGGGTGCTAGTGTGCAAGTGTGTTTTATTTACATGCATTTAGTCTTGATTAGGTTTATCTATTTGTTGATTTCATATCTTGCCATACATACACTAAGTACTAGCATTTATATTTGAAAAGCGATAAATTGCAGAAATATAAAGTCCTACGCTATTACAATATTTAGGGATGGGGGTACAAATTTACAAATGGGGGGTTGCAAGAATTTAAATCCTATTTAAATATTACAACCATATTGAAATGTACGATGCAAGAAAGAAAAAGGGCTTGTTTTGAAAATGGTTTTTTGTCTTAATGAATTAAGAAAAAGAAATAAATTAATTAATAAAGAGAAAATATTTTTATGTCCTTTTTTATATTAATAAAAAGGGTATTAATATTGAAAATGATAAAAAGGGAAATAATGAGAGATAGGATTAGCATGCTGCTGAAAGCAAAACAAAGGGGATTAGAAGTTCTGATGCCGGACGCGTTGTGGTTCAGAAAGAAGCGTTAGAAGTTCTGGATTGATACACTCTGAGGTTCTATAAGAAATGTTAGAGGGAAAACACAGAAGTTCTGGGTTGCTATGTGCTGAACTTCTGAGTGTTAGAACAGTGAGAAAGTCTTAGAAGTTCTGTGTATTAAAACAGTGAAGAGAACTCAGAAGTTCAGTATGTGCTAACAGCGAGTGAACATCATAAGTTTAGTGTGTTTAAATAGTAAGAAAATCATAGAAGTTCTATATGTTAAAACAGTGAGGAGAACCCAGAAGTTCTGTGTTGTGCTAAAACCATGAGTGAAAATCAAAAGTTTTGTGATACATTTCAACTCTTTCCTCATATTAATCAGCACATCAACAATTTATTCAATTCTTAACAAACAACAAATCAGAAGGATAAAAGCACAACAATTTATAGAAGTTCTAATCCTAATTCTGAGCCTAGCCTTAACCAAGAAGTTATGATCCATAATTTTTCTACTTATGCAATGATATGGACAACATCAATACTATGATATTTACATATTTTAATGATGTTCTGAATGAAAAGATGCAAAGTCAGAAAGACTTACCTTGAATCTGAAACGTGTGCTTGGAACTTGAACTGTTGCCTTCAGATGTTCTGGAGTCAGCAAGAACAACGAAAGAGAAAATGCTAAGTTCTTTGATTCAAAGGGAAGAACAAAGGTTTGGTTTTCTGTTTGGGAATTATGGATTTTTACGAAGGTTTCACAGTTTTATTTTCTCTTTTGATGATTATCTCTCTCCAAAATCCATCCCCTTGAAAGTGTGGTGGAGCAACTTATTTATATGTGAGTTGGTTGTGGTTTTGGGGAAAAAATGGGATTTAAAACTTTTTGGCATACTGTTCCATTTCTTTTTAAACACAGTTTTCGTATACTAATTTGGTGCAATTATGGGGTTTGAGAAAGATGCAGGCGTGGACTGGATCAACAACACCTTGGAGTGTTGTGTCAGCTGGTGGCAGGACTGTGCTATAGCAGTGCGACAGGTTGCTCAAACGAGGTTTTGGGATTTGGTAATGTTCTAATCGTTGAAGGACATAATTTCCATACGTTCTGATTGATGAGTCATGTTCTGAACCATGTTTCCAAATTCTGGTTGCACTTGCGTGGAGGCTGGCTCAGAAGTTCTGAAGTACCACATTCTCTTAACACTTAGAAAATTTTCTAAATGTTTAGAAATTTGGATTTTTTTCAAAGTAATTTCTGACTTCTGATTTTTTTTGATGAACCAATTTCATGTCTTGATGAAATATAATTATTGAAACTTAATTTTTGACCTAAAAGTCAAAGTTTGACTTTTCAGCGCGCTTTTGACCATTTTTCCCTTGTGAATGATTTTCTTGGAAAATTGAAATTCAAGACTTGAAACTTGATAGAAGCAAACTTGAGGGTCCATGATGATCCTTTGAGAAATGAGAGGGGAAATTTTTGGGTACAACAACTGCCCCTGTTCAATCTTCTTAAACCTGAAGAGTTAGATTGGCGGATCCGTCATTCGTGACTTGAAGGTGGAAGATGATTGGACACTAGAGTGCCCATAAATTTGCACTCGAAGATGAATTGTGAATGGGCTTATAGATGCCATTTGGAGGAATAACGGAAATTTACCGGAGATGGGCTTGTAGATGCCACCCAAGGGTGACTGTTGACAAAGAATGGACTATGTCTGGACTTGATTTCAACTGGAAAAGAATTAGAATAAATCTTTGGAGCGATTTAACTGAACCAGAGAAAGAGTCTGCGGGAAAGAATCAGAATAAATCACTGAGGGATTTAAACTGAACCGGTAGGGATCTATAAAAGAATCATAACAAAGAATTGAGATTTATCTAAACCAGAAGTGTTCCTTTGGAAAGTATCAGGATAAACCGTTGGGGGGTATAAACTGAACCAAAAGAGATCTTGAATGTTCTTTAACTAGAAAGAATCAGAGTAAATCTTTGAGCGATTTAACTGAACTAGAGAAAGCGTTTGCGGGAAAGAATCAAAATAAACCATTGAGAGGTTTATCTGAACCCGAAGGGGTCTTTTGGAAAGTATCAGAATAAACCGTTGAGGGGTTTAAACTAAACCAAAAGAGATCTTGAATGTTCTTTAACTAGAAATAATCAGAGTAAATCTTTGAGCAGTTTAACTGAGCTAGAGAAAGCGTCTGCGGGAAAGAATCAGAATAAACCGTTGAGAGATTTATCTGAACCCGAAGGGATCTTTTAGAAAGTATCAGGATAAATTGTTGAGGGGTTTAAACTAAACCAAAATAGATCTTGAATGTTCTTTAACTAGAAAGAATCAGATTAAATCTTTGAGCGATTTAACTGAGCCAGAGAAGGCGTCGGCGGGAAAGAATCCGAATAAACTGTTGAGAGATTTATCTGAACCCGAAGGGGTCTTTTGGAAAGTATTAGGATAAACCATTGAGGGGTTTAAACTGAACCAAAGAGATCTTGAATGTTCTTTTACAGGAAATAATCAGAGTAAATCTTTGAGTGATTTAACTGAACCAGAGAAAGCGTCTACGGGAAAGAATCAGAATAAACCATTGAGAGATTTATCTGAACCCGAAGGGGTCTGGAGAAGAATCAGAATAAATCATTAGGAGATTTATTTGAACCAGAGGAGACGTCTGTAACGTAGATGGTTTACCGATCCTTTCTTTGGAATGGGTCTGTTTTTGACTTGCTGAAAATTTGACGATAATTTTCTGTT